AACAGGGATTCCACAATATAATCATGTTTTCCCCTTTTGGATAATTTGTGGCTTAACTAATATCCTCTTAGGAAATAAAAACACATATTAAAGCTTTGTTGTTCTTTTCAAGAAGATTTCAGCATGCTTCTTGGATGACATTCTTTAAATTCTGGGTGTGGTAATACAAATGAACTGGGAGCAACCAAATGACACAGGCATTGTTTAGCTGAAACAACTTTGCAAAAACTATTGCATTTGAGCAATTTCATCACAGCAATCCAATGATTCTGGCCATGAAAGCCTTCGACAACACAATGTCATCACTCATTAGCAATAGGTGGCAATACTAGATGGACTATCTTAATCCAGTCAAAAACTGAAACTCCCACTACAGTAAGTACACAATTTTTGAGTCATCCTAATGGAAACTTATTTCACTATAAGGCACATGTGTCAAACTCAAGGCCCATGGGCCAAATCCAGCCCACCATGTCATTTTTGTGACTCTCCAGATGTTGAACTACAACTCCTGTATTCCTCATCATTAGACATCATGACTAGAGCTCATGGGAGTTATGCTACAGTAACATCTGTAAGGCTGCGGTTTGTTCTATTTAGCTAGGATAGTGAGGTTTGAATTTAGATACAAGACTTGTAGATATGATGTCTGACTTTAAAGTGTCCTTCAAGCTTTGCCCAGCCTCACAGCCACAAGTGCTGTTGGGCTGTAATTCTCATTATCCCCAGTATGCATGGTGAATAATCAAAAGTGATGGGAGTTTTATTGAATAACACTTGGGAACAAAATTGACCACTATGTGTTATATATATAGAGAGAGAAAGTTGGCCTTGGATTCAATGGCTCTTTGAAGCTGATCATAATGAGTTTTACACTCCTCCTATAAAGGCAGGGGCATAGCACTGTTTCTTCTAGTTCCGTGGTTCTCAATCTGTGAGTCCCCAGATGTTTTGGCCTTCAACTCCCAGAAATCCTAACAGCTGGTAAGCTGGCTGGGATTTCTGGGCGTTGTAAGCCAAAACACATGGGGACCCACAGGTTGAGAACCACTGTTCTAGTTTCAGGTTTCCAATTATTGAACAAGAACACAGTAACTATCACAATTAAGGCACCAGATATTGTTTGGTCTCAGAAGCGGAGCAGGATCTGCTCTGGTTCATTCCTGGATGGGAGACTGCCAACATATTCCAGGTGCTGACGGCTATATTTCAACGAGTGGCAATGGCATACAACCTCCGAGTACTCCTTGCCTAAAAATAACCTCTGAAATGCTTGGTGTTGCTATTAGTCAACACGTATATTAGTCAACACACACCCACACACATATATAAACACATTACATTTTCTCATATATACATAGTGCTTAAAAAACCTAAAGATGGATGGATAAATGACAGACAGACAGACAGACAGATAGAGTAGCAAAGCTGACTGGATTGAATAGCCTATTGAAAATGTTTTGGTCCAGTGTTAAGAGTAGTGAGATAATTTACTAGTACTCCTTAAACAAGACTGGAGTAATCTATGTGGTGTTGTAGGTGTCACTTTCATCCACTTCTCTGTTACCAAGATCATGCAACTTCCGGTGAGCAGATGGAAAGGACCTTCATGGCATAACCATTTATTTATTTATTTATTTATTTATTTATTTATTATTTCTTTACAGCATTTTTATCCCGCTCTTTTCAGCCCGAAGGCGACTCAGGATGGCATGCAGATACAACAATTAGATGCCATAAACATACATACATACATACATATGTATGTATGAAGGTCCATATCAATTAAAAACATTTAATATCACATAATAAAAATCCATATAAAAACCATTTAAAACTATAATAATTAATGTCTACCAATTCAACTCCTTTTCCATTTCCATTGTCTAAGCCATTCCGTGTTTGTTATTTCATCATACTGTATTTATCCAATTATGCCATGTTACCAAAAGCTTGCTTGAAGAGTCAGGCTTTCACTCTTTTCCAAAAGGTCAGGAGTGAGGGAGCTGATCTAATATCCTGGGAAGAGAGTTCCACAGGCAAGGGGCCACCACTGAGAAGGCCCTGTCTCTCATCCCTGTAAGCGCACCTATGAGGAAGGAGGGGATTGAAAGCAGGGCCTCCCCAGATGATCTTAAATTCCTGGATGGTTCATAAGGAGAGATACGTATTACTTCCCCCTTTTTTTCTGATTGCTTCTATTTTGAAAACTCAAGATGATGTTTGCAATTTTGTAGGGGATTTTTTGTGTCAGGAGCAAATTGAGAAGCTGCTAGTCACTTCTGGTGTAGTTTTATCCTTACACACATATGAATGTGCTTTGTTGTATATGCATTTCTTTACTGGTAGAACTCTTGACGAAATATTTGTTTGTTACTGGTAGAACTGGTAGAACTATTGATGAAATATTTGTTGAAGTTAGTGCTTCAGGTCTCCAACTATATCATTCATACATATGCCAACACTTTGTTAATTGGATTGCCTTTTGAAGGCGTGAATGCACACTTTTAATTGTGGTGTTGTGCACTATATTCACACTGACAAACATTGTCACCTATAGCAATCCTTAGAGTTCTGCTTGCCCCAGCACTCCAAAACAAGATTTGGCACTGATAACCACATTACACCTTGGCAGCATAAACTAATGTGTAAAGGTTGGGAATTGCAATATCAATATTTATTAGGTCACCGAGACTTTATTTACTTGTACATAGAAACTTGGTAGTGCATTAATCCAGTATTGCAAAATTACGCAGCAGTGATAAAACACATAATAGTAGATTCTCATGATAACAACCCAAATCTCAAAATTATACTCTTCCTGCAGTAAAGTGTGAAAAGTGGAAAGCACGATTGTATTTTGATAGCATTATTAGGAAGATTATGCAATACAAAGAAGAGCTATGCCGCATGGTCTAGCTTTCTACGAGAACAAGTTTGTGAAGCCTAAACTCACTTTTAACCGTGGTGCAGTAAAGTCCTAAGACTCCTTACTAGTTTTTATCTGACACCTATTTGAAGTATTTCTCTTTAAAGTTATCTTAGTCACCTTAAACACAGCTATTGTCTGAGCAACTGTATTTGTCATTTAAATCTCATATTTTATTCTCATAAGTATTGAAATGTAAATAGCACCACATCATTTGCATTCAACTCAGTTTAAACAGTTGTGTTTTTCAATTTACAGCAGGAACCATGATGGTGGCAAGCAGCCACTTCTTCAAATCAGATAAAGAAACCTTGATCAAGATGGTACTTCTCTTTTAAAATGTATTTTAATTAGCAGCACTTGTTCAGATAGTGAGCTTCATTATCTGAATCCATAATGCAGCTAGAAGATAAACATGCACGGAAGTTTATTTTCTCGTTAGTTCAGGATCCTGGGACCAGAATCTTAAGTACCTCAAACAAGAGGGCTAATTTTAGGGACTTTGTTAACCCCCTGAAAGTATTTGCTCCTTTTTAGATCCCCAGATAATTCCCATGTATTTGAAGAGGATAGGAAGAACACAAACTCTCTCAGAGTGCAGTCATCCATTCCTTTGGCAGAAACCCAAACCACATTTACTAAAGTATCAAAGCTATCCATTCCTATTTCTTGATGTCCTCATGCCAAGACCTTTTTATTAATTGTGAGCAGTTTGTGGCAAGGGGTCCTTCACATACATATATACATAATTATGTGTTTATGAGAACATGTACAGCTCTTAAAATTAGTACCAGACCTTGCTTGCTTCCTCTCAACCCTCCCCACATTCCTTTCATTTTGTGTGATTTCTATTGGATTGTAAGACTGTTTGTGAATGTGTGCACCTTCACATCACCTGTCAATATATGATGATCCCATGAATTTCATATGGTTTTCTTAGGCAAGAAATGCCAAAGGTAGTTTTGAGTGAGCTTTGGTAGGGTTTATAGCATTGAAGGTCTCACAGTGGGAGACTTTTTCAGCTGAAAACTTGAGCAAAGTATTTTAAAATTGAAATCACTTTTCTTGTAAGCATTAGTTTCCTCCATTGCCAACATTACCCACCTGACCTGAACTATTCCCAAGTTATTTGCCAACTAAAATATATGGCCCAGAACTAGATTATTCATAGTGTTTGCTCCCTATTTCCCTTAAACCTCTTGCATTGGTATTTCTGCTATGTAACATCCCAATAAAGCCTCAGTTCTTTCATGGTCTGTAATGAGGGTTTCGTCAGCAGATGGAATATCTATAATATACATTTGCTGGCATAGCATGAGTAAAGATCAGTGACTTTTTTTCAGAGATAATTGGATGCTGGGAGAAAATATCTTGAATGCTGATAACTGATGCTATTGAATGTAGAATAACCCAGTGAGTTTCCATGGCCAAGTTGGATTTGTACTCTGGTTTTCAATAGTCATAGCCCAGCATTTAAACCACTACAATGAACACAGTATTTTCTGTTGATCATGGGGGTCCTGTGTGGGAAGTTTGGCTCAATTCTAACATTGGTGGGGTTAAGAATGCGCTTTGATTGTAGGTGAACTATAAATCCCAGCAACTACAATTTCCAAATGTCAATGTCTATTTTCCCCAAACCCCACCACTCTTCACATTTGGGCATATTGAGTTTTCATGCCAAGTTTGGTCCAGATCCATTATTGTTTGAGTCCACAGTGCTCTCTGGATGAAGGCAAACTACAACTCCAAAACTAAAAGTCAATGTCCACCAAACCCTTCCAGTATTTTCTGTTGGTCATGGAAGTTCTGTGTGCCAAGTTTGGATCAATTCAATTGTTGGTGGATTTAAGAATACTCTTTGATTGTAGGTGAACTATAAATCCCAGCAACTACAACTTCCAACAGACAAAATCAACCCCCACCCCCCCCAACTCCACCAGTAATCAAATTTGGGTGTATTGGATATTTGTGCCAAATTTGGTACAGTGAATGAAAATGCATCCTGCATATCAGATATTTACATTACAATTTATAACAGTAGCAAAATTACAGTTATGAAGTAGCAACGAAAATAATGTTAAGGTTGGGGATCACCACAACATGCGGAATTGTATTAAGGGGTCACGGCATTAGGAAGGTTGAAAACCACTGCATTATACCATGCTGGTTCCTACTGACTTACCATGATTTTTGCAGTTGTCAATAGGTGAAGTCCTTATGATTTGCATGTCATTCATTTTCATCCCAACTCTGTGAGACAGCATGCATCAAAATACGATTAAGACAATATATCCAGTATAGAAGGAACCTTGTAACCCATCTTTGTAATTGTAATGGCTATTGTATTGTAATTCAGCTTCCATGGGTTATAAATGTATATCACAAACACAAGGCAGAACTGGGCATTTTAAAAAAAACCTGAAAGACATTTGTACTCTTACAGTGAAGACATTCCCCCTTCTCTGATTTGGAGGTAAATAAGTCAAATAGTAACTTTTTCTTACAGGTGTGGAACTTTTATTGTAGTTTAATTTAAAATAATCCAGGTTCTGTATTATATTGCTCCAGAGATCTTTTTTTCTATTTAGTGGGTGCCAATCTGTCATGCTTCCGCATTCTTCCATTTTCTCTCTGCCTGTCTCATCAGTGGAAGCTGCAGTTGGTCCAAGATTTTTTTTAAAATTAGATAGAAACTTTTCTTGTGTTTTCCCTTAGAGAACCATATTGCTTCTGAATTCAGACTGTCAGGAGAAGCATAACATGGCATACTGTTACTTATGGAGACAATATCAAATGTGCAGGTTAGCAAACTGTGGCATGGTTACAGCATCAGTGGATAAGTGGCATTAAATCCGACATGCTTTTGCACATCCTAAAAGTAAGTTCATAGCTGGAAACTTATGAATTTGGTTCACTAGATCCAGCTGATAATGGTCTCCTAGACAGGGAAGAAGGAAATCAATACTATTGTCCAAAATAAGTTCCATATGTGAACAAGTGATATCATCAGATATACGAATGCACACTTACAGGTTTCATTCTTATGTGCTCAGGTTTGTTTGCTCTATGGCTGATTGGTGTTGGATATCGGTATCCATCAGGCTTCTCTGCACAGGAGAAGAAACTGCAAAATATAGCTCCTCCGCTGATTAGAAATCCAGAGGTGATCCATCCCAAATAGAGGGCAGCTCCCAATTCATATTTCCGGGCAAGTTGGTTTGCTGGATTGTAGAAATCTGTGATGATATTGTTGGCAATCATGGAAACAGGAATCAACACAATGACACCAGTCAGAAGAAAAATGATTCCAGCAGACAATAAAAGCTTGCTTTTTGTTTCCTCATCTTTGCCAGGACATCGTATCCACTTCATGCCAGAGATAGCAATTAGAAAGGCAACAACTGACAATGCACAAGCTGTGCACATAAGCCCTCTGGATGCATCTAAAGTCATTGGAAGGGCTAATGTGGACTGATAGAATTTGCACTGATATTGTCGGATGTGACTGACACATGCCATCCAAAGGCCCTCCCAAATCTTCTCAAAGACTACAATGTTGTTTCCTGTGAAGGCCGATACTTTCCATTGAGGCAGCAGGGTGACCGTGAATGTTCCAAGCGTACCAATGCTCACAAGCAGCAGAGCCACCGTTTGCAAAGCACAGCAAGCCATGGGACTTCTCAGAAAATGTTGCCCAAGGAAACTAGCAAAAGATTTCACCAAATAAATTCTTTATATCCTTTCAAAGGGAACACGCTTCTCAAAGTTTCTTCAGAAAAGTGCAGCCAGAGAAAAATGATGGAGGGCTCTTCTTTCCCCACATAGATGCGAAGTCTAGTTTCCTCATGCCCCAAACTTAAAGTAATTTCCAATTTAATATTTTTCTTTAGTGCTGCAGATGGAGACTAACAGGGAGAGCGACATCCCTACTTTGTTTGAAAGAACATCTATTTATTTTGTGTGAGGTTCTATAAAAGGACAAGGCCCAATACCTTGTAGCCAATCACAAGCTTTGTAGGGATGAGTCCAGACATCTCTCACCTGACTCTGTTGCTTTTTAATTTTAGTATTGCCACAACACTATAATTAAATGATTAGGTTCTAATTTCCATTGCTTAATTACAGCACTATAATTATTATATAGCTCTAATTACTGTCCCAGTGTCAGCAAGAGAGGTCAACTCAGCTTGGTGTTCTGTCTGGTATGAATGTCACCTAAATCAAACTATGTACAACTTGGTGGTGATGAAAATTTAAGGATGCTTATAGGGTGGGGTTGAGATGTGTTTGAGCATTGCAAAGAACAGGAAAATGTGACTTGTATAGAAAGGCACATAATGTTATTATAAAAACAGCACAAAGGATGTTGTGAATGTTTTTGATGCTCTGCCCAATTAGTTATATATAGATGTGTGTTGATTGTTAGTGGATGCCTTATGAATATAAAGGAACACAATGTAAACAGATCATGAGGTATCTCTCCTATGACAAAAAAGAATTCAAGAGATTCACACAAATGTATCTATAAAGAAACATTGGAGAACATTTAGATTTTTTTTGTTGTGACAGGAGTGACTTGAGAAACTGCAAGTCGCTTCTGGTGTGAGAGAATTGGCCATCTGCAAGGACGTTGCCCAGGGGACGCCTGGATGATTTGATGTTTTTATCATCCTTGTGGGAAGCTTCTCTCATGTCCCCGCATGAAGACCTGGAGCCGATAGAGGGAGCTCATCCACCTCTCCCCGGATTCGAACCTGCGACCTGACAGTCTTCAGTCCTGCCAGCACAGGGGTTTAACCCACTGCGCCACCGGAGGCTTCTAACATTTAGATGAAGTCCTGGCTTAGATGAGGTGTTTGCTCCAAGGAGCTCAGTCACCTTATGAAGCTTCTGCACCCATTATATAGTTTCATTTTTCACCAACCCTTTCTCCATCATCAGGCATGTAGCCAGGGGGGGGGGCTTGAGGGGCTTCACACACCCCCCCCCCCCCCCAATCGAAATCCTGGCTACGGGCCTGTCCATCATTGTCCCGTGTGGTGGAATCAGATGCCCACAAAAAGTAAACCAATGAAATTTTGCTGTCAGAAGCAAAGGAGAAGATGGTGCATGTCATGCACCCTTTGGTGCATGACATACAGATGCTGGCAAGACTGCCAGTTGAGAGGATGGCATCCACCAGTACGTCTGACACATCATTAATAGGGATCAGCGCAGAACCTTCTGTGATCTCCGGTTAACATCTGAAAGGCTCAGGCCTCCATAGGCTTCTACAATTACCATCCAATCTCTGTTTCTAAGGACCTCATCAGACGGGAAGGGGGACAGCGTGGGACAGTGGAGAGAACCATCAAGCTCTGTTCCCTCCCATTGGGGTCTGTCTTCTGTCTTCCCATGTCATTTTCCCCTTCAGATCAGTCTTCCCCCACTTTCTCTTCACTTTCAGGTGTCACATGTTACCTGACTCCTTCAGAGGTACTCTGGATTCCATTTCCTCTCTGCTATCAAAACAGAGCCCCACAGAGTCCCACCAGAAGCTGCCCTGCATCATGTGATAGGCTCTGAGGGACTCTGTTCCAGCAATGGAGAGAAGCAGGAAAAGACACTCCTCTCTTTGCATCTGATGAGGTCATGAGACATTTGTTACACTCTACTAGCAGTGTACTGCCTACAGGAGCATGATAATATTGACTTCTGTCAGGGCTCCATGGCAAAAGGGGAAAGCAAGCAGTGTACACCACCGCTGCGGCAACATGGGAGGCTTCCTCTGTTGCCTTTGCAACAATTGGGGCGGGGGGGAAGCTGGGTGGTGCCTTTCTTCCTACAGGCAACTGCAGGAATGGAGCTTGCTTCTCCTTTGGCCCCATCATGGTGAGGAAAGCGACTTGGGGAAAGAGCCTTAGTAGATGGAGATCTGATTGCCTCTATATTCCTCAACCAAAAAGCTGAAACTGCAGGCTAAAATGTGTCCTTATATCTGTGTATCTCACTAACCAGATGCCAGCTATTGTCTTCTCAATAACCAGTCTGTACTTTGGTGCTTTATTTTGAGGCTCGGGTCTTACATTTTATTGATATTCCTGACTTAACTTTGAAAGAAACCCATACTGTGTTAGGCTACTTAGATCAAATCAATTAAATCTTGAAAGCTTAAATGGCAATATTTGTTGCTGCTGTTGTTTTTTATTATTGGGATTGCATATGCATTTTAGAATCAAAACTGTCTGTCTACTATGAGCTACCTTTAGCAAAAGCTTCTTCTGTTGTGATGTCATGCCGAATGAAATGTTAATGGACATTTTGAACGGATGAGGGGAACTAATTCAGAGTCTGTGAGGAAGGATGTTTTGAGATTAGGTATGCATTATGCAATTGTGTTGCCTCATTAATGAGATGTTATGGGTGTGTTCAGACAATGGCATTTTCCCCACCGGTAACCTTGTTGTATTTTCCCTCTGCTTCTTTTGTATTATTGTTAGAGAAAACATCTGCCACAAAAAATGTTCACAAGTTATTACAGAAATTTCTTTTTTCCTCAATAGCACCAGACATTCCTGGAACTGAGAATCTTTCAATGGGAATTGGACTAGACAGATCCCCTAGATCAATAGGCAGGAAATAAATTGAACCCATTCTGGTAAAAATCCAATGTATGACTTCCACTAGCTGTGCCATAACCTCCAAAAGTCCCAGTTTGGCAGGTAGGGCTCTGGTTAATCCTCTGTTATCCCATTTTCTCAGCTGCTTTTAAAATGCCCCTGGTTTTTTCCTCCTTCCATTTTCTTCTTTTGTTCTCAGTTTATTTCAATTGCTGCAAAACAATGCCTCATCTTCATGGGCTGGTTAATCCAGAGTGAATCCAAAACAAACCCCTCTCCTTCTTCCTAGATGTGCAGACACCTGATACCAGAAAAGGTAACCCATGATAGCCGGGATCTCTGATGGAGCGCAACTGAGAATGGTAACATGGGCCTGATTCATCCTTTTACTTTGCACTGATGTCTGCAACAAAAGGGGAGTGGTGGTGATGGCCCATGTGGACAATGGATGAATCCAAATTGGACCCAGGCTTCTGTACCCACTATATCAAATCTGCTGAGCTGTTCCAGAGTTTTTGAAAAACTCTGGAGCATCCCTGGATCAGAAGTTGTGGAACATCATGGGTACTAATAGTTGTACTGCTAATAAGCAAATGTACTATTATTTTATGTGATTTTAGCACTTTACCCGATCAGCANGGGGTTGGACTGGATGGCCCAGGAGGTCTCTTCCAACTCTTTGATTCTATGATTCTATGATTGATTCTATGAACCAGCTTCTTACCTTCATATCAGGAAAAATCAATGGTGCCATGTGTATCTATAAAGTATGTCCTATTTGGCATCGTTCTCTTCCCTTCTCCCCATTTATTTTGTTTCCTATATTATTAGAATTCCTGCTTTTCTATTGTGGGAGAGGGCAGTGCTTACTAAGGCCTCATTCCTCTGGAAAGCAGTCATCGGGGAAGGCTGAATGGCATTTTGCAAAAATGATTCATTTGCAGATAGACGCATTGAACAGAGCCGGAGACAAGCAGCCTGCCAAGACTCACTGTTCCCACATCTGATCCCCAGGAAGACAACTGCTGCCCCAAATGTTGTTGGCTAACGAAGTCAGTTCTCTAGGCTTCTCTTTTCTGTCTGACATAGACCAGCAATCTTCTATTCTTTGCAATGTACAGACTTTTTGGTTTCCCTGAGGGCATGACTAGCCACCTCCAGATGTTGTGGATTAAAATCTTCCATCAGTTCTAGCTAGTGATGTGGGATTTGCTGTCTAAAACCATCTGCAAAGCCACAGCTGCTCAAAGCTCCTCTAGTCTAGAAAAGAAGGTCCTCCAAATACTATGGGGAAATCTTGACCACATTCTGATGTGGCTTGGCCACGTGTCCCAGCCTTCATCCATGAAATCTTGGTGCTGTTGAACGCCAGATCTGTCAATGGTAAAACAACTTTCATCCAGGATTTAATCCTGGATGAACGGGCAGATCTGGCGTGCATCACAGAGACCTGGCTGGACGAAGCGGGAGGTGTAAACTTGACCCAGCTTTGTCCACCTGGGTTCTCTGTGCAGCACCAACCGAGATCCGGAGGGCGGGGAGGCGGAGTTGCAGTGGTCTATAGAGATTCCATTCTTCTGACCAGGGCCCCCATCCCGCAGTCAACAAATTTTGAATGCGTCCACCTGAGGGTGGGTGACCGGGACAGATTAGGGATTCTGTTAGTGTACCGTCCACCTCGCTGCACTACAGTCTCCCTACCTGAGCTAGCAGGGGTGGTCTCGGACCTGGCATTGGAGTCCCAGCAGCTACTAGTGCTGGGGGACTTCAATGTCCACGCCGAGACCGCCTTATCGGGAGCGGCTCAGGACTTCATGTCCACCATG